ATTTGGTCAAAATCTGCTGAGTCGATCATGACTAGTAGCGTTTTAAAAGAAAAGTTGACGGACGGACGGACGACGGACGACGGACGGACGACGGACGCTGCGGTATGGCATAAGCTCACCATGGTCCTTCGGACCAGGTGAGCTAAAATTGGTTGCCTTGGTACTCATCTTCCAATCAGTCTCCAATTTAAACATGCACAACGAAGAATCATGAGAAACCTCACCATCCAATTCAAGAAAGATTCCACCAGTAGCTTCTAAACGATAGAGATAACGATCTTGTAATGACAAAATACTTATTGACAAGTAGCGATAGCAAACATATGAACTGACAGATTCCAAGAAGGCTTCCTGGCGGTTACCTTGTTTATCTGAGCAGTCTCAAATTGCAACATGCATAACTATGGTCCATGGAAAACTACTGTACATCCGAATGAAACGTCTGACCTGATTTTGTGAAGAAATAACAATTACAAACGTACCCTTTTATAATGTCCTACTTCCAGCCATCTACTTCTTTCGGTCAATCTTAAAAATGAATGCAAGTGGAGAGATCGAACCGATACTTCTCGAGAAATAGTGATCAAAAATGTGTTTAAGGACGAGCAACGGATGAAAGTCGGTTTGAACATGCATTCTACTATATAATTATGGTTGACTATTTGTCGTTTGCAATTTTCTCTTCTCCAGAAGGGTCAAAATGGGAATCATTATTTGTCATAACACAAATTTTGGTTGACTGAGGTATTGTAGATTTGAAAAAAAACATGGATTATCCTCCCTTGTTCCAAATTATCAAACCAATAAAATTAAAGATAGCGACTGTTATAAATATTTGCCTTGCTTAAAGAGAGCGATTTGGATAAGGTTCACCCGGGCTCGATGGTATAAAGCCTTGTTCACTTTACCATTTTTTTAATTTTCTATTTTGTTTTTGAAAAATATCTAAACCTAAATACAAATATTCTTCTTATAATTCTGTCATCGAATGATCACTTTAGAACCCTTTAAATACAATGAAGTTTGAATTTCAGTATTTGAATCTATATCGAATAAACGTTTGTCATTGATGAAGCTGATCAGGATGTGTACAGCAGGGATATACAAAGTGGCCCTGCCGATAACACACTCCAAACCTTGGTGGTCACGCACAGGACAAGAGTCATCTTATTATCTGTACACAACTTTACGGAGATAACACAAGGTAATGCAATATATTTCTACTCACAGGTATTCCTGACGTCACATATGACGGAGCATACTCACAGGTATTCCTGAGGTCACAGTGTATTAAAGGGCTAATTAGTCAAGTGACAACCTGAAAATCGAGTTGGTACTGAAAATATATATTTCCTAACGAAAGTTTTCGTAGTTGATAATGACCTGACCTGACGCCAACGTCCAGTGTGGTCAGTTTAACCTTTTGGGAAAGCCTGTGATAAAAATAGCTATGACAGAAATAGCACAATATCCAGGCCTTTCAGTGAGAAGTTAACATGCACAGCACTACACTGTCGACCGACAATACAGTGTCAGTTATATGAGTCTGAGTTCACACATAACACATTCTTGAATTTACACAATACATAGCAAGTAAGAATTATAAGTATTATAATATATACCCCTTATAAGATATTTCTGTTCATATTTGGATTTGAAGACAACCCCGAACAGGTTCAATTAAAGCATACACGCAATGAGAGGGTGCCGCAGGGAGAATTTCAAACCGCAGAAAGTACGATATCAATATATCACTCGACCATTCATAACGATGTTTGAGATTTAGATGATGTTGAGAGACGATTTTGATTCAGAATAAATGCATATACTTGTATTCCAGAGAGGCTAGGTGAATAAAGCGAGAAGTTACCCTTTTCCTCGGCTGGAAACATTTTGTTTGCTATAAATTCACCGAAAGCTGCCGCTAAAACGTACGTCTGTACAGTTAAGGATTTCTCCATTATTGATTGAGAAAACATTGTCTCTTGTCAATTTCTCGACGTGAATTTGAGTATCAAACTATAGATTCATAACAAATTGTGTGACAACGTCATCAAAAACCTTACTTCTCTAAATTGTCCCATTTTACTGTCCCTTCATTTTTTACCTTTAAGAAAACTGGCAATCGGTAATGATAGGAATGTGCAGTTTGAACAGACAATTACAGCATATCAAATTTGAATCACATACAATACAGCAGGAAATTAAAATGATAATCACGATCCCACATATCATAAGATATGATCTCACATACAGCTAGCTTTGAATAAAGGGGGAACGTTTGGTGAGGAAACAAACCATGACAAGATATATAACACCAGGTTATAGAAAAGGTCTATGGCTTGGCACACACCTGGTGCCGTACCTCATGCAAAATTCATGCAAACAGAGCTGTTTTGTCGTTTGAAGTGTATTTGGTTTCACCTAGTCTATTTAGTGAATTCATTATATAGCAAACCATATTATAGTAGATGAACGATGATTATATTCAATTTTCTAAAAATGGGATGATCGACAAGCCTTCCAAATATCCAAGAGTTGACGTATCACACACAGTAATCTTTAAGTACTAAAGCATAGCATTTCACACACGAGGTAGTTTAAGTGGTGTCAAATCAATTACGTTATTCAGACGTCGCACTATTTCACAATTAGATGACTATAGAATGAATCTGAGTTAAAGGGAAATATTTGGAAAGCCTCTTATTGTATACAGACATACGTTGCTATGGTAGTCTACCCTAACTTCTGACGTGGAAGTGTTTCCTTTTTCGTTTTTCTAGTGATATTGAACAAATATACAGTAGTATAATATGAGCGTATATATATCTTTGTAACATAAATACAAATATCTGGTGTTTATACTTATCCATGAAAGAGTGCTTCTTAAACGTATATTATGAATGGTAAATACTCAGTAGTTGCGAACAAAATGAGAAATTTGTATTGTCTGGGCTGGCTGATTTCTCTTTAATTATAAACATGTAAATATGTTCTAATATTGTGCATTAATTAATATAAATGCAATATTTGCTACCTCTTAACCGAGAGGAAATAAAGAAATCTGTATATCTGCTGCTGGTTTACCAGACCATTGGGTTGGCGGAAAGCCTTGAAGCTGCGAACTATTCTGCCATGATTTACATGGAATACTAGTTTTTTAGTATAAAGGATCCGTGCAGGTCAAACAGTGTAGGCTTGTAACGTTATAGTACAGTACTGGATATCACAGCATAGAAAGTGTGACAATTGTCTTTTTTTTTAACTGATTGGGAGTTTTTTCGACATTATTTTTCTTTTTTTTATACATGATTTGATTCTTCAAAGGTTTTATCACTCTATCGACTTCGAATGTTTTCCTTATCATTTATTTTTATTTGGAGATTTGAATAACAGCTACAACTAAATAAAATAAAATGCACAACAAAGCAATCAGATTAAATAGCAATTTATGACATAAGGCAACAATCGGCTCAACATCATATTGACCAAATATAGACATTGTGTTTAGTTTTGATCCCACAACATACTTTGTAATTACACACACATATATATATATATATATATATATATATCTTATCAGAAAGTACAAATCATATTATATTGTCAACAAATTATACAAAAACCTGAGATATCATGGCAAATCACAAAATTGGAATAGTTTGATCATGTTTTGTTTTCATATAATACACAATGTCAAAACAACACAACAATGCTTATAATTATAAGCTCTATGACAATTGTTGGAGTGAACTTTTATAAGCTCTATGACAATTGGTACTATTTCCCTAAGAAACTGTGTGACAATAGGTGCTATGTCCCTGTATTGTGCGAGTGAACTTTAAGAAACTGTGTGACAATAGATGCTATATATATGTCCCTGTATTTGTTGGAGTAAATTTTTAAAAGCTGTATGACAATTAGTACTATATCCCTGTACTGTTGGAGTGACCTTAAAGAAGCTGTGTGACAGTAGGTGCTATGTACCTGTATTGTTGGAGTGCACTTTAAGAAGCTGTGTGACAATATGTGCTATTTCCCTGTACTGTTGGAGTGACCTTAAAGAAGCTGTGTGACAATAGGTGCTATTTCCCTGTACTGTTGGAGTAAACTTTAAGAAGCTGTGAGACAATTGGTGTTATTTCCCTGTACTGTTGGAGTGAACTTTAAGAAGCTGTGTGACAATAGGTGCTATTTCCCTGTACTGTTGGAGTGAACTTTAAGAAGCTGTGAGACAATTGGTGTTCTTTCCCTGTACTGTTGGAGTGAACTTTAAGAAGCTGTGTGACAATAGGTGCTATTTCCCTGTACTGTGGGAGTAAACTTTAAGAAGCTGTGAGACAATTGGTGTTCTTTCCCTGTACTGTTGGAGTGAACTTTAAGAAGCTGTGTGACAATAGGTGTTATTTCCATGTACTGTTGGAGTGAACTTAAAGAAGCTGTGTGACAATAGGTGCTATGTCCCTGTACTGTTGGAGTAAACTTAAAGAAGCTGTGTGATGTGTGACAATTGGTGCTATTTCCCTGTACTGTTGGAGTGAACTTTTAGAAGCTGTGTGATAATAGGTGCTATTTCCCTGTACTGTTGGAGTGAACTTTTATAATTATAAGCTCTATGACAATTGTTGGAGTGAACTTTTATAAGCTCTATGACAATTGTTGGAGTGAACTTTTATAAGCTCTATGACAATTGGTACTATTTCCCTAAGAAACTGTGTGACAATAGGTGCTATGTCCCTGTATTGTGCGAGTGAACTTTAAGAAACTGTGTGACAATAGATGCTATATATATGTCCCTGTATTTGTTGGAGTAAATTTTTAAAAGCTGTATGACAATTAGTACTATATCCCTGTACTGTTGGAGTGACCTTAAAGAAGCTGTGTGACAGTAGGTGCTATGTACCTGTATTGTTGGAGTGCACTTTAAGAAGCTGTATGACAATATGTGCTATTTCCCTGTACTGTTGGAGTGACCTTAAAGAAGCTGTGTGACAATAGGTGCTATGTCCCTGTACTGTTGGAGTAAACTTAAAGAAGCTGTGTGATGTGTGACAATTGGTGCTATTTCCCTGTACTGTTGGAGTGAACTTTAATAAGCTGTGAGACAATTGGTGTTATTTCCCTGGACTGTTGGAGTGAACTTTAAGAAGCTGTGAGACAATTGGTGTTCTTTCCCTGTACTGTTGGAGTGAACTTTAAGAAGCTGTGTGACAATAGGTGTTATTTCCATGTACTGTTGGAGTGAACTTAAAGAAGCTGTGTGACAATAGGTGCTATTTCCCTGTACTGTTGGAGTGAACTTTAAGAAGCTGTGTGACAATAGGTGCTATTTCCCTGTACTGTGGGAGTAAACTTTAAGAAGCTGTGAGACAATTGGTGTTCTTTCCCTGTACTGTTGGAGTGAACTTTAAGAAGCTGTGTGACAATAGGTGTTATTTCCATGTACTGTTGGAGTGAACTTAAAGAAGCTGTGTGACAATAGGTGCTATGTCCCTGTACTGTTGGAGTAAACTTAAAGAAGCTGTGTGATGTGTGACAATTGGTGCTATTTCCCTGTACTGTTGGAGTAAACGTTAAGAAGCTGTGAGACAATTGGTGTTATTTCCCTGGACTGTTGGAGTGAACTTTAAGAAGCTGTGAGACAATTGGTGTTCTTTCCCTGTACTGTTGGAGTGAACTTTAAGAAGCTGTGAGACAATTGGTGTTATTTCCCTGGACTGTTGGAGTGAACTTTAAGAAGCTGTGAGACAATTGGTGTTCTTTCCCTGTACTGTTGGAGTGAACTTTAAGAAGCTGTGAGACAATTGGTGTTCTTTCCCTGTACTGTTGGAGTGAACTTTAAGAAGCTGTGTGACAATTGGTGTTATTTCCCTGTACTGTTGGAGTGAACTTTAAGAAGCTGTGAGACAATTGGTGTTCTTTCCCTGTACTGTTGGAGTGAACTTTAAGAAGCTGTGTGACAATAGGTGTTATTTCCATGTACTGTTGGAGTGAACTTAAAGAAGCTGTGTGACAATAGGTGCTATGTCCCTGTACTGTTGGAGTAAACTTAAAGAAGCTGTGTGATGTGTGACAATTGGTGCTATTTCCCTGTACTGTTGGAGTAAACTTTAAGAAACTGTGTGACAATTGGTGCTATTTCCCCCTACTGTTGGAGTAAACTTATAGAAGCTGTGTGACAATTGGTAATATGTCCCTGTATTGTAGTAGTGAACTTGTAGATGCTGTAATAAATAGATGATACTGTACCTGAATAATGAGAGAAACTGATTGTCAGTCATAAGGCTAATAAATACATACATGTAAGCAGTATCTGGTAAAACAGCTGACGTACAGGGATAATAAAATACAGTGTGTATCAATAAAGCTTCTATAAATATTGATTTCATATAATACTTTACAACTGTGTTCCATACTGTAACAAATACATCTAAATATATACGGTATCTCACTAGAAAACTAGGCAGTAAGGCTGCTATCTGTTCAATTATTTGTTATCTAATGAAACATACAGGTAACCATGACAACATTCTGTCAACCTCAAATGGTCTTAATATGCTGGCATCAATTAGCATAGGACTCAGTTGCTATAACAACCAAATATGATTGCTAATAACTAGTACACACTAAAATGTGTCTCTAAGCAGAGAAAAGCAATTACAGATTGCCATGGAAACTATTCCTCCTGTTTGCACCTGTCCTTCTTGTGAATAAAATCACTTTGTAAGAGGCGATAAAAGAGGATAATATTCATTATGGTGAGAATAGCGAGTCCCAGACTGCCGAGTGAGTAGAACACCAAAGGGATGAGGTCCTTGTTAATTAATATCCAACGGCTCATCCATGCCATCACCGATATCCGGAACACAATAAATGTACCTGAAATTACACAAATCAATTATTATTTTCGTATTTACATGCTATGTTTTTTCAATAATCTTCATTGTATAGTAAAATAAGCATGAGTTTTTTCTAGCCAACTAGCCCCTCTACTGCATACAGATTAGATTTTATCCAATGATATTTTCACATTTTCTTGAAAAAAGACAAGTTTATACAGTGTTGAGACATAGTTTCAAGAATATTTTTTTTCTGTAGTGTTTCTTTAATACACCAAATAGGGAATGTCAAGTGATATATCCTATTTATACTAGCTAGGCACAAGTTCTTTATGGATGAGAGATCAATTCATTAAACCAGTAAGTAATTTTAAATAAAAAAAATATAAGTACTCGTACTCCTAATTCAAATTTCAAATAATTTTCATAACTATTTGGATCAAGTTCCATTTCTGGGCGTTTTGTATATGTCACTTTTAGTATGATTTCATGGATTGCATCTCAAAAAGCATGAAAATAACAATCTCTCTTAATACAGATTGCATGGAACAGTACTGTAAACACGATAATCCTTCACCAACATGCTAACTGATAACTACATATCATGACCCCAGGACTTGTGGTATAGAAAATATTATTTACCGTTTTTGTCACATTTGACCCCTGTTTCCTTGACGCATGTCAAGGTCAGATCATTTTGCATGACCCATGTACCTTGAATGCATGTCAAGAACATTTTGCAAACAGTTTAAACAAATTGATAAATTCATCCAAAAAATAGATACAGATCAAATATGACACTAAGCCTCGAGGTTCAATGTAAGAAGTTATTTCAAGATGAAAAACAACCAGACAACAAAAGCTCACAGACATGTTATATGCCAGCTGCAAGTTTTAACATCTTAAGTCAAGTCCCTGCTCTCTTGTCTACTTTCAGGGAATCCTCTCCTCTGTATGAAGGGGAGGCAACTCATCTGTATGAAGGGGGGACAACTCAGACATTCCTTGTCTATTATGAGTTTAAGTCATTTATATTGAGTGTAAGCAATGTGCTGGACCATATTTTCATAATTTATGGCCCAAAAACAGCTTAATTGGACTTAGTTAAATTTGAGGTTAAAGTTTTGGGCAAGTTTTTTCCATACAATGTTGGATCATCACACTCAATACACAGTTGTCTATTATGAGTTTAAGTCATTTAGAGCATGTGGTAGCAATATGCTGGACCATATTTTCATATTGTAGACATTAAAACAGCTTAATTGCACTTAGTAAAATTTGTGATTTAAGTTTTATTGGGTAGTGTTGGACCACCACCATCAATAGGCTGTTGTCTATTATAAGTTTTTTGTATCGAGTGTAAGCAATGTGTTGAACCATATTTTCATATTATAGCGTCCAAAAACAGCTTTATTGGACTTTGTTAATTTCTTAACAATCACTTCACATAGATGTTTCTACACATTTAACAGTCCTTAAAATATGCTGGTGGTAGTTAGTGAGGTGGCAAATAAAATGACAGGCACTATATCAACGTTTTACTATACATGTGGGTCTATTGATAGTTGCAGTATTATAATAACATACATAGGCGTGCTATGCTGTTCTCCGACAGCTCTTGTTAGATATTGAGTGCATATATTTTGAGTTTGAAAATAGACTGTAGGTCCATAATCCTAATCCAGTGTACCTGTGTACCTGTACACAATTCACATACCTGATCAGCGTATACCTGGGGCATTGCTTCCCACCTGTGTCTACATCTTAACATGTACAAGTCATACAATACTAATCTTACTGTTACCGGTAATATTTATCCACACTACCCAGTTCACTATAGGACCATATACGTGTTACAGTTGTTACATATAGTATTTTTAGAGAAAATTGAAGATGAAAAGATAAAAATATATTTCATGCGAGACCTTCAGGGTTTTGTATGATCTAACTTCAATTCCTGTAGAAGGTGTGTACAATTGTATTTCTGGCAGAAGGTTCTCTGAGTTGTCTGAACAACAAGTGTTTTTTAAACATGTACATCCTCTAGATCTGCATTGTTGTGATGTATGTCTGATTATGTTCTAGATTTAGTGTTTAGTTCTGGAGTCTGAGGACAGAGGAAGATAAACATGTACGTCCTCTAGATCTGCATTGTTGTGATGTATGTCTGATTATGTTCTAGATTTAGTGTTTAGTTCTGGAGTCTGAGGACAGAGGAAGATAAACATGTACGTCCTCTAGATCTGCATTGTTGTGATGTATGTCTGATTATGTTCTAGATTTAGTGTTTAGTTCTGGAGTCTGAGGACAGAGGAAGATAAACATGTACGTCCTCTAGATCTGCATTGTTGTGATGTATGTCTGATTATGTTCTAGATTTAGTGTTTAGTTCTGGAGTCTGAGGACAGAGGAAGATAAACATGTACGTCCTCTAGATCTGCATTGTTGTGATGTATGTCTGATTATGTTCTAGATTTAGTGTTTAGTTCTGGAGTCTGAGGACAGAGGAAGATAAACATGTACGTCCTCTAGATCTGCATTGTTGTGATGTATGTCTGATTATGTTCTAGATTTAGTGTTTAGTTCTGGAGTCTGAGGACAGAGGAAGATAAACATGTACGTCCTCTAGATCTGCATTGTTGTGATGTATGTCTGATTATGTTCTAGATTTAGTGTTTAGTTCTGGAGTCTGAGGACAGAGGAAGATAAACATGTACCTACACATATTTATACAGCCATACGTATATGTGTACCACTGAAGATGTCAGATATAATATATGTTTTTAACAGACGTATTTGACTATCTAAAATATATAGGTCAACCAGAATATTCATATTATCCTTGAACTTGTTTACATTGGTTTTTTTGGGGAATGATGTGAGATTGAATTTCCTTTTTTTAAATGTCTGGAATTTTATAAGCGCCCATTAATATTTCTGACTCAATTACTATTAATCCTTTCACCCCTAGGTAACTTTAGTAGACTCTACCATGCATTGATCTGGATGAGTCCATTACGGTCAACAGTGGTGAAAGGGATTAAAGGCATTGACTCCATAACAACATGGTATTTTAATGCCAGCTACTTAATAACACAGTTTGAACCTATATAATAACATATTCAGCTATAACGTTATGTTTACACAGTGACGGTCACACCATAGACTGACGCAAGTAAACAACTTACCTTAACAACTTCCTTCCTATACCTAGGCTACACTGGTGTGCAATTACTTCCTTAGGAAGTTTAATGTGAGTGCCTTTGAATGTCTAATTCTAACCGTTAACATTCCAAAGGTATAGTCTAAATGTTAACAAACAATACACAAGTAACATATATATACAGACATACATATACTTGTACTAACATTTACCAGACTTCAACTATTTTAGTATACATGTATATTTACCAGCTGGGTATAATAATAATAATAATATACAACATTTGATATAGTGCCCTATATAGCTAACATAAGCCACTCTAAAGCGCTTTACAGTAAATAGATATACAATTAATTCAATTAGGCCACCTCACTTGAATGCTACAGACCATTTTATACTCCACCTGGGTTGTTGGAGATGTGTGGGCAAGAAAAAAAAACTTTCTCTGATGTTCCATGCGAGCGACGACTTCAGGGATCAAACCCTGGCCGCCTGCATGGAAGGCCAAAGTGTTAACCACTCAACCAATCTGCCCATAATGACATATGACACAAGTCCTTTGGTCTCAGGACAGTCAATTTCATATCTCTAAATTTCCTATCACATAAAGGGTTTTAGTATAAGGGAAAACTAGAACACCTAAAAAAAAACCTAAGTGATGGGGCATGCAAAGGTGGCCCAAATACCATTTCACAACCGGGATTAATCAGACCCTGCCTTCCTGTTGAAAGGGGAGTGAATGTGATGCATCCCCAGCAGCCCCACTTGATCGTCTATTATCTACTTGAAATGGATTTGTTTCAAGATTGTTATATTTTATTTTTTTAAGCTATCCTAGGTCTGTACTGTTGGTCGATTTGGAAAGAAAATCTGACAGAAGTTTTGAACATATTATGTTCAAAACTTCAGTCAGATTTTCTTTCCAAATCGACCAACAGTACAGACCTAGGAACACACATATAGCATGACAGAGTAATAATAAACATGTACTTACCTAAATTTACAACACTATTAAATCTATAGAAACTGTTGTGTTTTGAGATGCCACATATTAACATCAGTTGTCTAAGGTGTAAGAAAATACTGTTGATTTCAATTAGAAGAGCCACCACAGCATATCCCACATATATTCTTGTTACTATGGCAATGGAAAAACACACAACAATCTGAAATGAAGGAAATATTTAAGTTTAGTGTAATATAAATGTCTACCCCAATTATCAAACAAAGCGTGATAAAACTCAATTCTAATCAAGATACAAAATATCAATCACTGCTGTTTTCTTATTTTGATTTTTTATGAACTTTTATTTATTTTTACAACATTTATAAAACAAGTTATATCAATCACTCTTGTTGGCCCAGATCGATGTTAGTACACAGGGGGTCTTTATTTATATACATGTATGGTGGGAGGACACCAGAGTCCCCGGAGAAAACCCACATGGTCAGGCAAGTAATTAACCTTGAGCTCATACCTTTTCACGTCCAATTGGGGAATCTAACCCCGGTCACCTTGGTGAAAGGCGAGTGTGTTATCCACTGCGCCACCTGACCACCTGGTGTTTTTTTATTTTAATTAGATTTTTCAAGGTAATACTAAACCACCTGTACAGTTTTTAGTGATAAAAGCATGCAAGACTTCCCAGCAGGTTGAAATATATTAGTGATAGAAATTGCGGAAAATTGAAGTAACAGCATTTGCTCCCATCTCTGTGACAATACATACAGTACATATATATAGAAACTTAATGTACATGAATATATATCTAAAAGGTTTGTCATATATTGATTGATAAACATGTAGGTATGTTTGACTTATATGACCTCATTAAAATAAACAGTGACTTGGTAGCTATATAAAGGTACGTTTTACATGTACATTATTATACTGTATATACATTTAATGTTTTCAAATACGGGTTTGGTTTGGTTTGGTTTGGTTTGGTTTGGTTTAGTTTGTTTAACGTCCTATCAACAGCTATGGTCATTTAAGGACGGCCTCATCTGTGTGCAAGATGCATGCGTGTAGTGTATGGATGTGTGTTCTAGGAGGCTGCTCTATGTTCGTGTATGGGAGATAAATCTTAAGAAACACTTTTTTACATATATATAGGAAAGATAATTTTGATACTTCTCTAGAATGTTGCTGGTAACATATAAGTGAAAGTAAAATATAATTTGAAAAAAAGTTTAAAATTCTTTAGAAAAGCTGTTGTTTTCATGTCAGGAAAACTACACACCGGGCCGTTTTCAGTCAGACCACAGTTGTTTGTTTATTAAATAAGGTTGAACCTAGTAATTTGATGCTGCTTTCAGGCAGGCCTTAAAAGTCTTGCAAGGCCTGCATAAACATTTGCAGGTCTGCCAGTATTTATACTGGAAATTGTTACATTAAACAAGAGGCCCAGAGGGCCTGTATTGCTCACCTGAATATGTTTAAAATAATTGGTATGAAGTAAAGATATAGCACTCCATGGTATGTGCTGTAAATACATATGACATTTCAGAAAGATCCATCCAGTACTTGAGATATAGCAAGAACAAACTTCAAACAGAGCCCCACCCCTATGCCCCTAGNGGGGTCATACCCACCAATTATACAAAATTGAGTCCCCTTGGCCTAAGGATGCTCCAGACTAAATTAGGATAAAATCTCTTAATCCCTATGGTAGAAGAAGGATTCTAAAGGTTTTACCTCTATTTCCCCTATTGGGCCCTGCCTCTCTGCCTCCAGGGGGGTAAGACACACCGTTTATACAAAATTGGTTCCCCTTCACCCAATGATGCTTCATACCAAAGTTGGAGTAAATCCTGTCTTTCGTACAGATGAAGAAGGTATTTGCTATGTTTCCCCTATTTGGCCCCGTCCTTTTGTTCCCAGGGGGGCCACGTGCACACTCACTGTTTATACGAAATTGAGTCCCTTTTGTCCAAGGATGCTCAAGACTAAATTAGGATAAAATCCCTTAATCCATAGATGGTAGAAGAAAGATTATAAAGGTTTTACTTCTATTTCCCCTATTGGGCCCTGCCCCTCAGGTCCCAAGGGGGCCACACCCACCGTTTATAGAAAATTGGTTTCCCTTCACCCAAGGATGCTTCAGACCATATATGGAACAAATCCTTGCATTCCTACAGAGGAAGAAGGATTTTAAAGAATTTGCTATATTTACCCTATTGGGCCCCATCCTTCAGCCCCCAGGTGGGGCCACACCCACCATTTATACAAAATTGAGTCCCCTTGGCCCAAGGATGCTCCAGACTAAATTAGGATAAAATCCCTTAATCCCTACGGTAGAATAAGGATTTTTAAGGTTTTATCTCTATTTCCTCTATTGGGCCGCTCCCCTTTGCCCCCAGGGGGGGCCACACCCACAGTTTATACAAAATTGAGTCCCCTTGGCTTAGGGATACTTCAGACCAAATTTAGACAAAATCTACTTGACTGTTCAGGACTAATAGCGTTATAAAGGAAAAGTTGACGGACGGACGATGAACGGACGGACGACGGACGATGGACGCTGCGGTATGGCATAAGCTCACCATGGTCCGTCGGACCAGGTGAGCTAAAAACCGACAAACCAGTTGTTTGGCATAAACAAACAGACCCCAGATGTAAGTCATGCTATAGTGTTCTAATGCAATTATAATTATAATGTGTGCTATATTAAGTTTTTTATAAATAAAAAGGTACTAATTTTTAGTCAAACGGTTTTAGTGAATTCTGTCACTGGCATATATGTATAACCTTTATAATTAATTTCTCATAATGACGTACTGATATGGCTGGTACAGGGTTCTAAGCACAGATTTTAGTGTCAAAATTTAAAGCTTAGTGTTTGTGACTCTGTCATAAATACTGTTGTATATATATATATATATATATATATATATATATATAACACTATATANTATATATATATATATATATATATATATATTTAAAACACTATATATATATATATATATTCATGCAGTATATTCTTTTAACTAAAATGTGATAACAAGGTTTTCAGTTGACCCTTGTCATTTAGCAATTTCAGAAGTCAAAATATTTAGAATTTTCTCTGAAGGTTTGAAAGTCAAAACATATACTAAATAGACCTGTGCTGTCCTTGAAAACCAAAGGGTCATATTTTATTTTGGGGGGGGGGGGGACCTATATTCCCAAAATGACCAAAAACTGAGGAACATATTCCCAAATTTCAAAGTAGAATCATTTTTTTCGCCGAGCGGAGCGAGAAAAAAAAAATTTGGACCTTTTTCTTGGCTAAAAACATAAAATAATTGTGAAATGCACTAATATAACGGTTCAAAACTTGAAGCATGTATATTTTATAGCTACAGTGTCAGGATGTTTATGTTTTTAATTAATGAATATGATAAATTGCCATATTCAATACAATATTAGCAGATTATGATAGGGTTTTTTTTGGAAAAGGGCGGGCGTACGCCCATTACGCCCTCACCTGGACCCGCCCCTTTAATTTGTATTGAAATTTGGGAATATGTTCCTCAGTTTTTGGTCATTTTGGGAAAATAAGTCACTTCTTAGCTTTTTTTTTATACCAGTCTGTCGTCGATTAAAAAAAAGTTGATAAAACGTCAGAATAATTCGGACTAGAGATACACCTGTAATATAACTGGTGATATGATATATAGATATGTTATAAATATGTTAAATATACCTGGTAGGTAAATGAACATTCAAATTTTTTTATTGTTAGCATAATTATTAGGAACAGAAGGTGTTAGGCCCAAGCAAAGCATTTTTCAATTTTGTATTATTACCTGTTACAACATGTATCTTGAATGTTTAACTACCCGGTAACTACAAATCTTTACCTTGAAATTTCAGGATATCAGATTGATACTTGAAATTTTGAGATGTACATGTACAGTACATCAGAGTGAATCAGCCAAAGTTAGGTGATAAACCTGGGTAGGTATTTACCATATAGATACATGACAGGCATACATGGCAGCATCAGTATTTAAACAAATACTTTCAATTTGGACTTTGTTCTAAACTTTTTCCTGATCATGATCTTTAGACTTGATCTATAAATACCTATTTTTAGAGGATATGACACAACAATTTCTTCATAAAATGTGTAGTTTATATATATTTCAGGAAAGAAAAAACACTAAATACACTGTACAGGCAATGTAGTACTACATGCAAAGCTATATTTGTCAATTTTCGTGATTTAATTAAAGGACAACGAAACTATATCTTGTTTCAAAATCAGTGTCTACTTCTGTCAAATATTAAGCTTTCATAAGCTTCAAGTCTTGTTAAGTTAAATCTTAAGATTATATGCTCCATTATCCTTTATATTCAAAACAAAATTAATGTACCATGTACATGTATGTCACATCTGTTTGAGTTATCTCCCTTTAGAATTTTAGTTACCAGCTCTATCTAGCTTACATGTATAGGATTACCAGACTGAGTGTTATCAATACATGCGTTTTGGTGTACACTAGAGTTATGACTTGTCATCATGATCAATTAACTGATCCAAGATCAAATCACCACATATGATAGATGTTTTACTTAGTGTGGAACTTTTCTGAAAAGGAGGAGTTGTGTGACACACTGACATAAATATATAGCATACTCCCTTAAATTGATAGAATTCATAGTATTTTCATTAAAGATTTTGTTGTTATTTGTTTGATGGTGTCAATGTTGTATACGGAGATGTTTGCCTTTTATCTACACATGTTATAGCTAGGCTAGTGCTTGTGTAACTCTGTTGATCAGTGATCATGATGAGCTAGCTATAGAGGGGTCATTAAATGGACATTGCCCTGATGTGGTCAGCTTACTGACCTTTAGTCTACACAATCTATTAATTCAGCAGCACATCATTTGTCACTAATAGCGTGGATTATTTGTGTTCTAATTACTGTATATATATATATATATATATATAATGAGATGCCATGTTCACATTTTGAGGCATGGGTATCCATTTTTAGGTCATGAATTATTGCTCAGTTTTTCCTGAAGAAAGTCATCTCTGTTCCAAGCTCCTACAGTGTAGTTTTGCCATTAATGAAATTGAAATGCTATAGGGGATAGATTCATTACAACAGGTGAACATATTTTAAATAAAACCCAATTTTTAATTAAAGTAATTCCTTTTTTCCCCCTATTTTGCTGAAAGAACTGTCAATTTTTCCACCATCAGAGTAAAAAGATCATTTGAGGATGGGGATAGTTAAATTGGTAGAGCGTCCGTCTAGAGTTTGTAGGGTCTTGGGTTCAAACCCTGATCTGGCGTTGCATTTTCCATCTAAATCTCCTGTTAATTATTACATATATATATATATCTATAAACAAAAATTCTGGGTCTGCAGATTGTCTAACTTTTTGTCAACTTTTTCAGACATATATACAACTCAATAAATTATGCCTAAGGGGAGGGGATAAAACATTTTGACCTAATTGATTTTTTTTTATTTCAGACACCAACAAAACACTAAGGAGCTTGAGGGTCATTTAGAAATGATGATGTTCCAGTTATCTGTGTCACACGATATGTATCAGGCGATCTTCCGGTTATCTAGGGAACATGTTTAGGTTATAATAGCATCACTGTATTGTGGTAGCTAGCTGGATACACCAAATTGTCCACAACATTGGGGTGTGAAGGTCAACAGGCTCATCCCTAACAAGAGGACAGTCACATGGGGACCATTGAGCCATGACTCATCCTACTTTAAACAATGTAAATTGCTGAGAGCTATATATGAGACTGTAGTATAAATCTATACCATGTTCATCACTTATATTTCTTTATTCTGGAAGTCTACTTTTGTCAGGGTAATAGTACTTTATTTTCCCTTGGAGTCTCCCATTATTCATGGTTAATGAAGAGTTGTTTCCTCTGATTGTATCCTATTATTGCAGCAAAAATTGGCTGTTACCTGGGTTGTATCCCATTGTCAGGGCAACAAAAGGTTATTTACTGATACCAGGGTACTGTAGTTTATACATCCCCTTATTCAATATTGGGGCAATAACGGATTGTTTCTCCTGCCCATGTCCCATTTTTTCAGGGTAATAAAGGGTTGTTATTATATAAATATCACATTCATGAGAGGGCGATATTGCATATTTTCACCCCTCGGAAAGCATTGTTGACCTCAGCTTCGCCTCGGTCAACAATGCTTCTTTGGGGTGAAAATATGCAATATCGCCCTCTCATGAATGGGATTTTCATTTTATTATACCGAGTGTCATGTTTAGGTGTTTCACCACTTCACCATTTTTAAAGGTTCTTGTGTTGATTTGACATAAATCAAGACTTCATCTCAACAGTTGTCCAATGAACCAACCATGAATGTGATTTGATAACACCCTGGCACTGGGACGAACAGTGCACGCATACGTTTGGAGCATGTAACATTTTTTGGAATAACACCCTGTCTTCTTTATCTTTGTAAAACGAGCAAGTAACATTGAAAATGATTACATCTTTCTCAACCAATCAGATTACAAGATTTTAACAGAAGGTATAATAAACTGGGTTATATTATAATATATATATACCTTAAGGACGATAAAAGTTTGTTTCCTATAGAAATCAAGAGTCTGACATCTGATTTTTTTCCCGAAAATAGCTTTGTGGGCAAAAAATAGTATTTTGTTGTTGTAAGATTAAGGTATAATAAACATATCCTATGAATGACAAATGTCAAACAACATAATATTTGATTTCCCGTATTTGTGAGAGGTCAAAGAATCTGGAATTGTTGGCATGATAAGTTGTATGATCACTTACCACAACATGATGTCCCATCAGCTCGTAGGACTGACGAGTCCTCTGATTCACCAACATGTCCCACATATCGTAAATGAAATAACCTGAGAAAAAAATGAATATTTCTAAAATTTAATCCCAAACTTCAATTTCATTTTTCTAGTGCTAATCAGGACAACACTATAAAATTTAAAGGTATATATACATATGCGTTCATATAAACGATCCGACCAATTAAAATTTATCATATAATTAATAGATCATAAATGTTTAGATCAAGACCAAACTCTTTAAGAATTTTAAGGCAGTGAAACAATTGAAGGTTAAGTATACATACACACACACTGGTTCATATAACGGGTATACAACATTTTATATATAGCATCCTGTCTAGCATAAATAAGCTACTATAATTAGGCACCTTACAAATATACAGATATACGACTGTTTTGTCGTGAGTTTGACTTCTGACAGTATCTTTTTTCAGTATCATTTGAAAAACTCATTACATATATATATACATGAAACTTTTGTGATTTTATATATGGCTGTTCATTGAACAGAAAACAAGAGGCCCAAGGGCCTTAGCGGTCACCTGAGTTATATCATAGGTACTGGTAGCTTTATTTTATTGTTTAGATGTGATGTGGAAATCAGCATGTAAACTAAGTGAAATACAATACTTGTCATGTCATCAATGGATAAGAATTTGAAAATATTGGTAAATGTTCCCTTGGGGGCCCCGCTCTAGCCCCTGGGGATGGGGCAGGAATCCTAATTTTACAAAGTAAAACTCTCATTTCCCCAAGATGATTCTGGCTAAGTTTGAGCAATTTTCTGCAGAAAATATATAAAATATATACAGAAAAGTGTTATTTCCCTATATAAACTATATTAAACGTTAACCCCTCCCCAAGGGAGAACGGATAGCTCGGGGACCTAATATTTTCAATAAAAAATTAAATAAAGCCCCTGATGATCTTTCTTTCCACGTAGAGAAAATCACTGTAGTACCTCTGAGTCTGGAGAAGAAGATTTTTGAAATATTGGATAATTTTCCCTTTGGGGCCCCGCCCTGGCCCCAGGGGTGGGGGTAGGAATCCCAATTTTACAATTTTGAAGCCTCATCTACCAAGGATGATTCTGACCAAGTTTGAAAAAAATCCATCCACTGGTTCTTGAGAAGAAGTTGAAAATGTACAAAGTTTACGCACGACGCACGACGGACGACGACGGACGAAAAGCGATTGGAATAGGTCACTTGAGCAAAGCTCAGGTGACCTAAAAACTGTTAAAATAGTTTTTTATTTGGAATGGGTCTATTGAACGAACCTAAAATGAGAAGCAATTAAGTCATGTGTATAAGTACCCAAATCAAATCAAAATCAAATTTGCATTGTGATCAGGCTTGCTTGAGCTTCATACTCTGTTCTCAGAACTGACTTAAAATATTTATTAGAATATATATTGATCGCTAAATCTAGTTTCTTTCATTTCCTCACACCCAAAACACTTTCCTCATGGGTACAAATTAAACAATGTAATAGTGAATATCGCTAAGATCTGTCTGATCATGAACGGGCTGTAAGGTCACTAAGGGATTTATATTTAGCTATAGTGTGTGTGTTTCTATACAGGGGCATACAATCATGTTATGTACAAATCCATTCAACCATGACACCAATATATCACCTTACATTTAAATTTCCAGTCACGTAAATAGCTGTTAGCTGATTTGACAGAATAGTAGTCTGGCCAGGTACTGTGTACATTTTTTCAATATGGTTAAAGTAAGTCTTGTTATTTTGATTAAAATGTCCATAAAGTAAATCAAATTCATATTGAACTTGATGTATTAAGTATGTAAGGTACTAAACTGTTGAATAAGACCACATTGTTAGTGATTTTCTATAGACATTTGAATGATTCCTGGACTTGTTTCCTTGACATTTTGATATAAAACAGCAATCATAACAAACACATTGTAGTTAAATACTACATTATATTGTTAAGTCATGGACAATCTGTGTGCGGCCTCAACACCAGTCAAGCACGGTTTACGCTATTATTTTCTCTGATCGCCAGTGACATTGAATCTCAGATCGTGAGAGTATGCAGAGGAAGACTTTTTAAAGTAGACAGAAGGTATTTCCTTTGCCACATGGGAAGTTGCTATTCATGTAATTCATGTGTTATGCATGTGTCACCCTGGTAAAATACTAGCTTCTTCTTACCGTCTCGGCTAGAGAGAATTTCTCTTTAGCTCATTTGGTAGAGCGTAAGACTAGTAAGCCAGAGGTCCCGGGTTCGACTTCTAACGGAGGCATTGAAAAAATAATGACCTCTGTTACAAATGCATTTTATAACATAACGCAATATATAGGTTTAATACTCCCTGTACAATGTACTGTATAGAAACGTTACCTTTAAAGATCTGCATTATTTATATTAATCATAACATATTGAATTCCTATTTATCTATATATATTGCAAATTATAAACTTTGTTTAAAGTTCAAAACGTGGAAACTACGAAAGTGAAACCACGTTTGGGTCCTACATCCTGTGTTGATAGTTATACTACCGCTTCCTTGACGTTTGACCCCGTGACCCCCACACGTGTCTGTGAAATAGGTCAGCATACAGTATTTACGTAACCACCGACTCACCTACAGAAACGGCAATCAGCGTGTGTGCAAACGTGTCGTAGGTGGAAATTAAATCCTCTGCCATTTCCGGCTTCACGTAAAAGCTGAAAAATAAAATACAAACTGTAAAAATCATCCGTCTCTGTTATATTTCGGATATAAATAGCCGTGTAGAGACGTCAATGATAAGATGGGCGTAAATATTTCAGTTACGCAACCGTTTTAGTATGAAACTTACCAAACACATGCCCATGTTCCGCTTAAAACTGAATGAACAAACGAAGTGGCTATGTTTTTCCACTTCCATATGATTTTCTTTCCTAGCCCCGATGGTGTAAGATGTTGGGAGAAAAGCGATAACACGTAAAAAATCACAGCTGAAACGGCAACAACAGTCAGGCCATAAGGGGCTCCTCCCAATTCAGTTGGCCAAATCTCCTGAACAATTTTAGTTTCCATGGTTTAACTCAGATGTATCAACAAATTCCTGTAGAACACTTTCCACTTATTCAACCACGAGTCATAGCCATGGTTTAACAACATGAAATTCTTCAACGGGCACACGGTTGCAGTCGTAGTACACGCTTTCTAGTTATACTCGATATTACTGTTAACAGGTTGTGTATATCAAGCGAACCTGTCACACTGCCGTGGGTAGCAGTAATAACAAAGGACATTTTTTCATTCAGATATAGGCCTAGAGGGCCCTCCTTAAAAGCGTCTTCAACCGACGACAAGCGGCGTCTTCAAATGACAACAAGCGTCGCCAGACAAAATATTTGAAAATACCGAATAAAGTAAGCGACATCAGATTGATATTCGATCAAATAAACACTATTTATAATCTATTAGGATATTTAAATCTGCACTGTTTATTATATGGTATAAAACTATTCTTATACATGTTGACTCTTATATCAAATCATCAAAACGTTTCGTTACTTACACGTGCTAGATAAATTCCAAATTAATATTCGTGTATTGTAAGTGAGGCAAGTTTTGTCCCTTAAATAATGAGTATTAGACATAAGCTGGTATGGGTGTGGGTGTGCATGTGTGTGAAAGGAAAACGAATTACAACATTTAGTCTAGGAAACCCCTTCACTTTCATAGATATAGTGAATATGGCTATATTTGCAGTATTATATTAACAATACCGAATATCTCAACAGTTCAAAAATTCATATTCAGTTGGGTTTATCAGGGACAGTATATATACGTCCCTGGTTTTATATATATTCAATGCATTTTCGCCACTTAAAGTTATTTACTCATCAATATTTTTTCCGTTTTCAAAAATGCCGACTTAGGGAAATACGGGCAGTTTTCCGCCATAGCTCTTTGCATAAATGAGTGAAAAGATAATATTGTCAATTTTGTATGTCAGTGTTTTAGAATACTTTTAGAATACTTTTTCTTCTGGAAAGTATAGACCACATGCCCTGTCTTAAAACCAAATCTTGAAAAGTAGAAAAG